TGCCGCGCCCCATGGCGACCCGGGTCCGACCCGACGCCGCGGCCTCCTTCGCTGCGAGTCGGCGCGCCCCCGACTTCCGCTTCCGCCTTCCCCGCGGGCGCGCGCACGCACACGTCTTCAGGCTTCCGAGCCGCGAGGAGGCGGGCCTTTCCGCTCGCCCCAGACGCTGTGCACCGATTGGGCCGTGCCCTCTGACTCGGTGAAGGCTTACCCAATGAGAGCCGAGCGGGGGGCGGGGCTTGCGTTGCTGCGGTGCCGAGCTACCCGTGCACTGTCTCAAGGGATCCGGATGTGTCTCCTGCTCGGGGCTACGGGCGTGGGGAAGTCGCTGCTGGTGAAACGGCTGCAGACTATCCTTCGGTGCCGGGCAAGGGGGACCGGGGCGCCTGGAGGCGGGGTCTCGAGCCATGGTTGGGGGGCGTCTGGAGTGAACGGGGCCAGGGGACGCGGGATTCTTATGGGGGCGGTGATGTCGCCCTGGGGGCTGGAGATGGGGCTTGGGGTGTCGGGGGAGGCGCAAGGTGGGGGTCTGGCCGCTGCCCGCCCTCCTTTGCCCCAGTTGGGGTCCTTGACTGCCCTGCACAGCTGAGCTCCCAGGATGGGAAGGGCGACCTGGGTGACCCTCCTCCGACGCGGCCCACGGTAGGCGTTTGCCCTCCTGCAGGTTTAGTAGAAAAGGCATCTCCTGCAGTTTGCAAAGTGCTTTGGGTTATTTTAAGCAGAAACTGGAATCCAGCCCGTCTATGAGTTAAATAGAACCCTGGATAAGCGAGCGGGATGTCACAGGAAGGAGCTGGTCCTACTGGAACAGCCACGATGGAGGTGGGTGCATGGCGGCGGATCCCGAGCCGCCCCCATCCCCACAAGGCGAGTCCCACCGATGGGCACTGATTGCTGGCCACAGCCAGCCCTACCTGAGGAGTAGGGCCCTGGACCCCTGCACGCATCTTTATCCTTCTTCTTTATTGGGTTCTGCTTTAGGGCCTAAGACTTCAAGAGGGCCTGTTGGGGTTTAGGTCATAGTGTGACAGGCTGGGCGTGATGTTCAGGAGTTCCCAGTGGGAAAGAGCTTGTGCTGGTCTCTCTGCATGGCGTTTTTTCCACAGGTGGGCACCAACCTTACTGACATCGTGGCCCACAAAAAGATCACCATCCGAGAGCTGGGGGGGTGCATGGCCCCCATCTGGTCCAGTTACTACGGAAACTGCCGTTCTCTGCTGGTGGGTCATATCCTTTGAGCTTCTCTTAGGGAAGCATGTCACCTTTTCGGTAGTATCAGGGCCCTGACCTCACTGTGCCTCGGATGGAGTTTGGGTTCTCGGGCGACTGCGCTAGTCCAGGGAACAGGGCCCACGCTAGTTGCCAGCTTCTGGGAACTCAGCCTGGCCCCTGGCGGCCCCCCTCCCAAGCTAACGCCAAAGCTCACGGAAGCCTTGCTGAGGGCAGCGTTAGGGTTCTGTGGGTGACTGCCTGACACCCACTCTCTGCCTTGTTGCCCTGGGTGTGTTTTACGTTAATGCTTGAATTCTACATCCCTTGGGTTTGTCCCATCCTGCCCCAAATTCCGGGACCCTTCCTGGGAGAACTGAGGGCCACATGAGGAGAGAGACTTCCGTGTGGGTGGAAACAAGGGACACAGGGTCACTCTCAAGCTCCTTTCCTTCTGCCTGTCCCTAGAGCCCTTTGTTTCAGAGTCATTTTGCTCTTTCTGAGCCCGGCCTGTGATGCCAGGGGAGACTGGGCAGGGGCTGTCTCCGTCACAGAGGGCCCTGCGCTTCTCCCCTTTCCCAGTTCATGATAGACGCCTCCGACCCCACCCAGCTGTCTGCGTCCTGCGCGCACCTCCTGGGCCTCCTTTCCGCAGACCCGCTGGCGGAAGCATCGGTCCTGATACTCTTCAACAAAATGTACGGGGCGTGAGCGAGGAGGGAACCCTGTGGGGAGCTCCCTTGGAGTGTAGCCAAGAGGGTGGCCCCTCAGGGAGGGCAGCAGCAGGGGCTGGGGTGGCTCATGGCAGCCCCCTTTGACAAGGCGCTTCTCTGGCTCCAGCGATCTGCCCTGCTTTATGACCATAGAGGAGATGAAGTCGTTACTCAGGCTCCCAGACATCATCGCCTGCGCCAAGCAGAACATCACCACGGCAGAAATCAGTGCCCGCAAAGGCACCGGCTTGCCGGACGTGCTGCGCTGGCTCCAGGACGCTCACAGAACCAGCGTTTGACTGCTGTGTGGAGGACGTGGCTGGACGGCTCTGTGGCAACAGGCAGGGTGTGATGCTGCTTGGCCTCTGGCAGCTTGTTCTTATAAAGACAGGGTGACCCAACATAAGCCTAGAAGGCGGGGCACCGTGCTGAGTTGCAGTGATGGGTAAACTGAGGCACCCAGGTTGCAGAAACTCCTGACAGCTGACCTCTGAATGAAAACTGTCCCAAGGCTGGGAGACCTCTGGTCCTGAGCACCCAGAGAAGCTTGAGCATATAGGGTTCCCACAGGTAGGTGGGGGCAGGGAGAGGCTCTGATGGAGCACAGGTCCCCCAGTGTCCCGCTGTGTCCTTTCAGCTGAGGGAGCATGCAGAACACCCACTGATTGGCGGGTGTGTCCTGGGGCTCCTTTTGACAAATTGCCACAAACTGTGGCTTAAAATAACGTAAATTTACTGAGGCCCTGAGTCTGAAATCGGTTTCAGCGGGCCTGGATCCTGCTGGAGGCTCTGAGAGAATCCATTCCTTGCTTCTCTTCCCGTTTCTTCTGGCTGTGGGTGATGCTTGGTGTCTGTGTGGCCAGCAGAACTTATAAAGACACTTGTCAGTGGACTTCAGGCTCATCTTAAATCCAGGATGGTCTGGCCTTGAGATCTGCAATTATATGTGCAGAGACCCTTACTTCTAGATTAGATCACAGTTGTGTGTTCTGGGGCTTATGACGTGGCGTATCTTTCGTGGCCACTCTTCAACCCCCTACAATTAGACAGAAATTTTCCTCTGCTCACTGGTGTGATCGTGAGTTCTCTACCAAGAGCTCTGTCTCCCCTGGCGGTTCAGGCTCCCTGCATCGTGCAAGAACTCCAGGCACATCCCCATGTAGAGCACAAGCTGGGGCCTCAGCCTCCACGCGGTTGCCATTCGGCCACTTTGGCAGGGATGGGGGGGTCACAAGTGATGTCCCAGAAAGCTCTGCATATTCCACAGGGCAATGTGAGCTCAAATGTTATCACTTCCCGTTTGAAGCGATGAGCCTTACAGCACGCCTCTCTGGAAAGGTTTGCTACTGGCTGTGCTGTGTAGGGCCTGTCACTGCTGGGTGCCACCTCCTCAGACATGCCCCATGCATTATGTTCACCTCTGCCACCGGGCAGCCCTAGCTGGACCAATCTCAACCCCACTGGGGGTTCCTTGTAGGTTTCACAGACAACCTGGGACCTAAAGGGCTCTCAGACATCCCCCAATTTCAAAAGACGAGCAGAGCCTGGTCGAAAGCATGAAGTGCTGCATGCAGCTCATCGCTCCGCCAGAGACGGGGCCGGCGCTGGGCCTGGACCCGGGCCCCGGGCCTGCCCTCCCACCGCCAGCGAGCAGGAGGGCCTCCCTTTTGTGCTGTAAACCATGTTCCACGTGCTCAAAAAAACACTAAAACAGATCTTAACTATATTAAATTGGCATATAGCCAGAGGAAGGACCTCTTAAAGTTACATTTGAACATAATTGTTCTATCTTTAGTTGGATAAGTATAAAAATAGAAATCCTAAACTTAATTTAAAAATTGTAAACTTCATCATATACTTTTAGCGTTAGCAGTACTCTTATATTTTATATTTGCTGTAGAATAAAATAAACATTTGTTAAATTTTCAGTGTAAAAAATGCAAACACCTAACCCTGTAATACTACATTTTAATAGCAAATGTCAATACAAACTCAGACTGTTAAAGTTACACTCGCTTTCAGACTCCTGTATTTCTAGGCCTGGCCACAAAAGTGGTCTGGAAGCAGCGACACCCCAGGGAGCACCCCTCTACCCCAGCTCTTGGGTCCCCACACTGCACCGCCAGGGCGGTCCCTGCCAGGAACCACGGGCTCCTCATCTCAGGCAGGGAGAGAGCGCCCTGTGTGAAAGGAATCTGAGAGACAGCGATGAGCGTCAGTGACACGTGATCTTCCACTGGTCAAACGTGGCAACTTGAGCTAAAAAAAACACCCCTCAAACCTAAAACAAAAAATCAACCCGAGATTTACTGTTATGCATTATGTTAAAGTCACTTGAGTCCACAGTGATGGGTGCCCCTACTGACCTCACTTGTCACTAAGGTAGCTCTCCTCCAAAGATGAGCCCCCACCCCCGAAAACCGCTTCTTGATATCCGCAGCCTGGCTGTAGGCAGCGCTATCTGCCTCCATATCTGAGCCAAGCCTTGGGTGCGCTCCCCCATCTCTGCGGGGCTCAGCGGTCTGATGCTGACCAACCCACTCACCTGCCCTGGGGTCTGTCCTCCCTGCACTGGCCCGCTGCTTGCCTTGTGCCAGCCGGGCTGCTATTGAATGCAGGGGAGTCCATGATGGACCTGGTTGACAAGTGGCCGTATCTACGGTTAAGTGGCATTAGAGAACAAGATGATGGGATTGGCCCGCAATTGTGTCTCAGCCTGGACCTGTGTGTTTAGAACATAGGTGTGGGCAGAGCAAGGCTCACAGGAAGGACGTGGGCTGTGTCTCAGGCAGGCCCTGGCCCCTTCTGTGGGAGCTGAGGGAAGACAATGCCCACGTGACACGGGGCCCGGCAGGGGCCACTCACAAAAGAGCACTCTCGGGAGGGAAAACGAGAGCCAAGATCTGGAGCCGCACTTGGGAGCCGGTGCCCCAGGCCCTGAGGTCCCAGGGTATGTCCAGGGAGAGGACTTTCATCTGCAGGCCACCTGCCCCAGTGTGGCAGCCCTGGTACCTCTCCATCACAGACAGACAGACCTCTGGAGAGGGAGGAGGGCTCACTGAGCCCCCAGTGGCCGCTGCTGCAGCTTCTTCAGTGCCCTGTAGGCCTGCACGACGCGCTCTCTCTCCTCTGCCACAATCCGCTGTCGGGCCAAGGAAGTGGCCGGAGGCTGGGACACGCTGCCAGGGCTCAGAAGCATCCCGAGCATCAGCGATTTCTTGTCAGGCTGAGGACCAAATGGAAGGTGCGGCTTGGGTTCAGGAAGCGGTGAGGCGACAAAGCCCCAGCGGGTCCAAGGGCTGCATGCTCGCCGGGCACAGGCCAGGCACATCCCCTGCCCCTACTTACCCGGCCCCTGCTCACACTCGTCTTGGGCTTGGCGGTCAGCTTAGGGGGCTGCAGGGCCACCTCGCCAAACTTCACAGTGTCTGGAGGGGCAGAGGAGCGTGACGGGCCTGCTGTCTGCCCGTCTACCGACCCTGGGGAGACAGGTGCCTGGCCCCGCCCCCCCGCCCCCCACCCAGGGCGGACGCGGCGGCCTCAGAGAGGGCTACCTCGGAGCAGCTCCTGCTCCAGCCTGTCCGCGGCCTTTTCCTCCTTCCTCTGCCGCGCTTTATCCAGCCGCCGCCTCCGGAACCTGGGGAGAAAGCCAGCGCCGCTGAGCCCCGCCTCCCATTTCGCCACACCTGGGAGGCGGTGGGGCCCGGGCAGCTGCCGCCAAGTCCCCACTCCTGCCACCATCCCACGGCCAGCCACTGGAGAGGGTTCTGAGCCCCGCTGCCCCGCTACGGCTCCAAGTCAGTGGTGCTCGGCAGGGGCGACTGTGCCCGGGCACACCTGACAATGTCTGAAGACTGAGTTGTCACAATGCGGGGTGCTCCTGGCACCCGCCCGGGGAGGCCAGGGATGCTGCTCAACAGCCAGCGAGCACAGGGCGGCCCCCACAGTCTTGGCCCCAAGCGCCAGCTGTGCCGCTGCGCCTAAGGGACCTCGCAAGGCGGCGCCTGGGACATAGGCCCTAACAACTCTGAAATATCAACGTTCGACATCAGCTTTGGAGAGCACTGTGACCTCCGACAGGATCGGGCCGGGTTTCCTGTGACATCTTCACAGGCTGTGAAGACCACGACACCAGGAAACTCCACAGAGCTGAAAACGATCGAACATTCACAGCTTTTGGAGAAACTTCTGAGGAAAGCGCGGGCCAGTTCACCTCAAGAGTGTGGTCAAGGCAGAGCCCGTGTTTGTGAAACCGCCTCCCGGCTCCACCGCGGACTCCGGAGCGTGGCACACGGCTTCCTCCGGACTTCTCCAGGGCTGGGGGCAGGGACGGGCAGGGGAACGGGCTGGCGGCGGGCTCCCTCCCGGTGCTGGATGCCACCCTCGGGCACCCGACAAGGATCTCGCCAAGCCCGATGCAGATGCCGGCATCTCCTCTTCGCGATCGAGGAGCCAAGGCTGATGGGGTCACAGGACTTGTGCAAATGACATGGCTAAAGATCCTCAAGCCTTCTCTGACAAGAAAGGTGACACTGGGAACAGATCCCGGTCCACGTCCAGGGAGAGAAGGTGGCGGCCACCCAGCAGAGGAGGGAGAAGCCGAGAAGTATGTGTCACCTGACCCGGAAGCCCCCAGACCTGATTTCCACAGGGCAGGCAGGGTACCCCGTGGCCAGCAAGCCGTCCCTAGGGGGACACTGAGCCTCGTCTCTTCTCCGCTCCCCTACAGCACACGGCCTCCTCTGGCTCTTGGACCCCCGCGGTGACTCCAGAAAAATGCCAAGACCAAGCTAGGCCCTCCGACTTTAGGAGGCAGAGCCCCCTGGGCCCCCGAGGCTCCAAAGCTCTGCCGGAGTGAAAATCCCTCGCCCGCTACCAGGGCTTTCGGCCTCTTTCCCGGCCTTCCCTGAGCCGGGCTGGGGTGGGTCGCCCTGGTGGCCAAGCGCTGTCACTGCAGAGGACAATCAGGGGACCCACGCCCCTCCGGCCCCCACTCACGCTTGCTTCCCCTCCGACTTCTTCTTGGGAGCCGCCTGCACCTCGGGCTGCCGGTCAGCTTGGTTCTTGCTCAGGAAGAGCACGTGCTGGGCCTCCTGCTCCAGGCGCTGGATGTAGGCCCTGTCAGACTCCCGCTTCCTCCGCCTGAACTCGGGGACGGCGATGTCCGCACACACTCCTCTCGCTTCCTTCTCTGTCTTCCTGAAGGCCACCTGGGCTGAGGACAAAGGGAGACAGAGCATGAGGGGCAGGAGGAAGGGGTGGTGCCAGGCTGGCCCCCGAGCTCACTTCCCCTCCCAAGACCACAGGATGAGAAGACCAGGCTCAAGAAGGAGCAGACCAACGGCAATGGCTAAAGAGGATCTGAGGTGCCCAGCGTGGAGCACCCGGAGGCATAAGGTGCCTACAGCCCGCTGGTACACGTCAAAGGTGTCACTGCAGCTCAGCTGAAAAGGGAAGCAGGAAACGACCTAAATGACCACTGGCAGGCGACTGAATTCCCCTCCGTTCACCCAGAGACCTCACCGCCCGGATGCTGGAGAGAGTACGGTGGAGGCGCGCACAGGGATGTGCAAAGACCTACATAAGCCACCGTAAGCGAAAAGCCCGGGCACTGAACAACGCGTGGAATGAAGACGCACCTTCAACTTGTGAGTGTGTAAAAATCTGCAGTGCCCCTTCTGGGAAGGTACACGAGACGAGCAGCAGCCTCTTTCAGGGAAAGGAGGCTACGCCTCCCTTCAGACCATTCAGAATCGTTTGATTTTACCATGTATGGGGGTTTATATCTTTTTAAATAAGTAACCAAAAAAAGTGCTCATTCAATAGAGTGTGGTTCAAAATGTGCCATCCTCCCCCAGGCCAGCACCCTCCTCTACCTCGCCCCTTCTTTGCCTCTTTATTTCACTCTCCCTTTGGCAGCCATATAAACCCCCAATGAAACGCCTAAGGTTTACCAAGAAATTATCGAACAGCCCTCCCGTAAAATCAGTGCTACGTTTGGGAAAACAAATCTGTACATGCACAAAACACACGCCCACTCCATTCCCCAATGTGCACTGAGGGTCATCTCTGGCAGAGGCTACAGGTGGGCCCACCTCTGGCCTTGGGGAAGGGGTGGGAAGGGTAAGTTTCTCAGAGGAGGCCTGATCAATTCCATCCGTAACCCCCAGAAACCAGCCACTTCTCTCAACCATCACTTCTTACTTTCAAGAGACTCATTGGTCTGCCCTGTTCACTCTCCCTCCCTGGTGACCTAGTGACCTTTCTTGAAAGAAAATCTGAAATGACCATCCCCCGATGGATCTCCATGACACTGAAGTGAAGTCAACACACCTTCCTGGAGCCCTAGGGCTCTTTGGGAGCCTCGTCTGAAACCACACTGCCACCAGCTGCCACTTTGGTCCTGGTGACTGGCCTTCCGTCACGCCTCCGCATGCTCTCACACCTTCAGACCATTGACACGCCGTTAAATATCTAGGCACTAAGCTTTATTGCCACTCACGGGGGCCCACATGTTACCTTCTTTTTTCCTCTTCTTGTTACTAACAGGGTTTTTCATCTCCTGGCGGCTCCTCATTATCTCTCGGAGCCGGAAAGGGATTTCCTGTTCATCCTGGTTCTTGGGCTTGCAATTCACTTTCTTCTTTTCTTTGCTAAGAAGGAGAGCATCGGGTGAGACGCGTCCCAAGTCCAGCATAAGCAGAATCAGAGAAACTGAAGCTGGGCCTGAGAAAAGAAACTTCGCAGACCACCATGGCTGCTGTGGTGCGCCCCGGTCAAGGGAGCGTCCTCACCGCAGGCTGTCCCCGAACGGGTTCTCACAGGATCCGGTGAGGCTGGCATAAGGGGCATTCCGAGAGCCCCAGTGCAAGCCCTCGCTCCCTGACCTCGTCTAGGATGGCAAACACGGCATCCTGGAAGGTGGCAAGTGTCACTCCAGAGACTCCCTCACTCCTCCGCTCACCGCTGACCCTCCGACGTGCCCACCGCACGGACAGGGCCTGGCCAGGGGAGAGGTCCGGGCAGAAACTTCGAGGCAGTGAGACCCACCTGCGCGGCTTGGGCCACGGCGCCGAGCGCTGCTTCCCCTGCAGCTGCTGCTGCTGCTGCTGCTGCCGCCCCTGCGGCC